GCCGGCGGCGGGGGATGAGAGAGCATGGCGGCGCGGCGGCGGCGGCGGCGCGGCGGTTGGGAATCTGGCGAACGAAATTTTGGGGATTTTGGAGATAAGGAAGAGAGAGAGAGATGAATCGCTTCAGACTTCACCGAGTCATCATTTTCATTTCATTTTTCTTTCTTATTTTTTTTAATTCATTATTATAATCGTAATAACGTTTTTCCTTAATTTTTTTTGGTAACAAAGTCGATTTCTTTTGGCAAAATCGATTTTCTATTTTATTCAATTTTTTGTATGAAAAAATCTCCAAGCATTTATCTAAACTTTTAACTATGTATTGATCCAAATAAATTTTCAATATTTTAAAAAATATCCAAAAAAATTATAACTACTACACTCCAGTATTAAAAAATTCAAATAAAACATATAAAATATCTAAAAAATTATCATTTTTATTAACTTATATATTCTTACTGTAATGAAAAATATATTTACAACAACAACAACAACAACAACAATAATAATTATTTTATATCATAAATATAATTTTTCAAATTAAGATTGAAATGGTGAAATATTTAAAAAAATGAAATGGTGAAATAATAAATATATTTTAAAAAAAAATTTATAAATATGAAATTGATGAATTTATAGATAGTTGCATATTACAAAAAACTAATATATTTTAACTGTCGATGATAATTTTATTATTTTATCATTTAAAATTTTATGGATAATTACATATAAGTTTTGTATTATAGTTTTAATGTGTTATATTTATGATGTAGCAATTTAATACAGTTATAATATATATATATATATATATATATATTTCAAGAAAATGAAGGTGGAAGGTCATTCACACATCCCTTGAACTCTCTCTTGTTCAGTACTTGTTCGGAGATTACATGAGTTGAAAACTGTATTGTTAGTGTCGTCTATATAAATTCCAATCTTGGCATTCAATGCTCGTGTTAACATTGGTCAATGTGATGGTGGGACTCGGACTTGTGTGCATCGCTATGGCTTAATGTCTATCTTTGGAAGAAAACGCCCAAGAAGATGTCTAACATATTTGCGGTTTATTATGATAAATTTATGGAAGGCGTAATTCCAAATTGGTCAACTGTTGAATTTTAAGCTGGTTGGACAACGGAAATCTGTATTTGTTTTTTTATTAGTCGATGATTTGATTCGTGTGTCGGATGTCTGAAAACCGGCTAGAGTTCATACACTTGGATATTCGCCATCCCATCACCCATGATTACTCTTCCTCCTTTTTCTTCGTCTTGGCCATTCGATAGTCTACAAATGTGGTGATTGTTTTCAAATACGGATCTGGGACAGGATATCCAACCCATGCCGATATTACCAATTTTTGCAACACATTACTTATATTGAGCAATTGTCCAACGGTTATGACTTATGACCTACTGACAAAATTAACAAAAAAAAAACAAACTAAAGAGATGAAATCAATTACACCTCAAACACTGTATTCAAAACCATAAAAAAGAACGAAGATCCTTGGTCATTTACATCGAAACATAGAAAGCAAAATTTTTACTTAGTGATCTTGTGGGGAGGATGCTTTTTTTTTTGGGTCACCATGGTAAAACTCTTCCCTCTGGTCTAACCTCCGACACGTTCTCATCAACATCACAGTTATCCATCCCTTCATCATCCACACGTTCATCATAAACCACATTGCTTTTGTTCCTGGATGCTCTTTTGTAGGACAATGCTGCTGGGCTCTCTGTGAAATCACCGTCCTCCGTCACGTTAGGGCTCACATTTTCATCTCTTCGCCTCTTCCCTGAATCCGGACTCTCGTTCCTACCGGTTCCATAGTACTCCTTGATGGTTGATTCTATAGTTTCCAACAACCGATCACCATACTTGCTTACTTTAGCCCTGAAAAGAGGGGGGATTTCCGAACAATATGAACCCGTTTCCTTTTGTTCTTGATGTTTTCAAGATGGATTAGGACGGGAGTTCGAAAGCTAAAACTTACTTCCCAAGGCCATTGATCTCAAGTAGTTCTTCTTTGGTTCTGGGAACTCTTCTACTTATCTGCTGCAGCGTCGCATTGCTATTACAAAAAAAAAAATAGAGAGATTTAGCCATCCTGGTCGAACCAAATGTGCCCTGGTAAAGAAAATGTTCATTCTTACCCAAATATATGGTATGCCATGACGCCCTCGGGGGCTTCCTTAACGAGAATTGTACGAAGCTTTCTCAAAGCCGAGTACAAGTTGGCAGAGAGATTCTAAGGCAAAACAAACATGTGACGAATGAACACCATAAAATTTTGTGACGAATGGAAACTAAGGTACAAAGAGATACCAAATCTTCTTTCGATTTTGGTTGTGAAGGAACATCTGTCATCGGGAGAGCGCTTTGCTTTCCAGATATTAGTGGTCCTTTAGCTGGAGTCGCTCCAGATTTGCTAACCTTTGCCGCCGAAGGGAATCTGCAGTAGAAATGTGAGCAGCATCTAAACTAGTTTGTACCAAAACATTAGCCTTTTAACCAAGTGACCAAACTATCTGACGATTTTGTCAAAAGAACGTATTAAGCTCTCTCAAGATCTTTGAAAACACCAGTATGATGAAACATACAGATTTCACCTCCATCCAGACTCTGTAGCTTTGCTTCCTGACAGGTATCGGTTTTACAAAAATCCAAAATCATTTTCCTACGTGATAACTACTGCCCCACTTTAATTTACAAGTCTGGATTATGCTGCTAGTGGCACAAGTATTTGCCTGAAGTAATTAATAGCCCCAAAGAATAAAGTATCTCAAGCATCTAAACATACCTCATCGTTATAGTCCGCCCTTCGGAAAAGTATGACTGAGCCTTTGATTTATTCACCTAGATAGAAAAATACAGATGTATGGATGTCAAAGACAATAAAGACACACTCAATGTTATAGTTAGATTTAGTATGACAAAGAAATGGAGAAAGGGCTATCAGCTTCATCCTCAATAAACAATCGCATCGAAAATGAAAAAATTATCACAATAACAACCACCTTCAGTAAGGAAGATACAGATCCATACAGATCACTTTTCCTAACACCTTCAACTAGAATATCCTCTGTCACCAGATAATGCAAGATACGAGAAGCTTCACTTTTAGCTAATTGTTTTCCAGCTCCATGGAGGCGCAAGGTTTCGTGTCTGTGTTTCTTGACCTAGATGCAGATAAGACAATTGCTTTCTGGTATTTAAACAAAGCAGAAGACAAGGAGTAATACAACGGGTTTTACCGAATCCGTGAACAAGAAACAGAGAAATATACCATTTGACTTAAGGAACCCCTGAAGACTTCTAGAATATGAGCTGAAGAAAACCTTTCCCCTGTTAGCTGCACCAATTCAACCTGTGCAAGGTACAACAGATTGCAGAAACATAATCAATACCACATCCAACAAATGTAGTCCATGGAGAACTTTTTTAGATGATTCCCGTACCAATTGCCTTGCAATCATTGTGACATCCTTGTCAATTAATTTTTTGCCACTGCAACAATTATCACATGTTCTTTGGCAGTTTGCAGAATCAAATTTTTCCCCGAAGTGCACAAGCTGTAGAAAACGCCGACAGTCCACCTCATTTTCGCAGTAACTAACCTGAAGCGGCAAAAAAATCGGGGATACATCTCAGCAAAGAATAGCAAGAACTGTAAAAACAAACACATAAAAGGTTGTATATTAAATACCATGCGAAGAAGATTTTCAGTATTCGTTTCGAGTATCCTTCCTGAACTTGATGCACGATTATACCCGGTTGTCATGGCGCTTTGCTCAACTCCTCCTTGGCTAATCATATGCTTAACCCGTATCTGGACTCAAATTTTGCATTGAGACAATAAATTTTTTTAAAAAAAAGCTCACCCCTCTACAGTAGCAGTTAGGCCAGCGGGAACCAGAACCAGAAACTAAGGATTGATGCCCCAGATTTATGCAACTTACATAGTCACTGTAACTGTAATACAAAACGCACGATGACCACTGACCGTCCCTACCAGCACGACCACATTCCTTGCAAGAAAATAAAATTAGCATGTGAGTTCTTCGAAGAAAAACACATCCAATTTCTAACTTTTATCAGGCTATGGCATACTGATGTGGAACAGTTAAGAAGATTTCATGATTGTCCAATCAAGTACCTGATGATAGCCTTCTATTGACTTCGGGAGAGAATGGTGAATAACAAAGCGAACATCCGGCTTGTTAATTCCTAAAATACTGAATTTAGTTGGCAGCAACATTTAATAAATCAAAGCGGCAAGTGGCAACAGGAGAAACCATTACCCATGCCAAATGCCACTGTGGCACATATTATGTTTATTTCATCCTTGCTCCATTGCTTTTGCACAAAGGCACGTTGGCTAGGATCCATGCTACCATGGTAGTATGTTGCTTTATGGCCAAACTCCTACAAATAATAGGCATGGTTATGTCTAAACATGTTATGTGCGGGTGTGCAAGCAATAAGCACCAGCTGGAATGAGGAAAAAGGGAATCCAACCTGCAGCCTTTCAGCAACTTTCTCGCAGTCCATTCTTGAAAGACAATAAATAATTCCGCATTCATCAAAATGGTTTTCTTTAATAAACTTGTCTATATCTTCCAGACACTTTTTTGTCTTGGAAACAACACAATACCTGCGAAAGTTTTGGTAAGTGATATTCTGGAACTCAATATTAATAAGTTTGTATTTTGGGTACATACCGTAGATTTGGGCGATTGAAACTCTGTCGAAACACGACACAGTTAACAAGGCCAAGAGCTTGCACAACATCTTCTTTTACACTAGCTGTTGCTGTAGCTGTTAGAGCTAACATAGGAACATTAGGGAACTTCTGCTTCAAAATACCTAGACCCTGCATATCAAAAAAATTTCAGTAGAAAGGGAAAGGAGGATATGTTCTTGAAGACAAAGAGAGTGTCTGATAGGTATGAAGTGGTTGTCCAGAAGCGTAAAAATGGAACCTGGTAGTCTGGTCGAAAGTCATGTCCCCACTGGCTCACACAGTGAGCCTCATCAATAACAATCCGAGCAAGCAAACTACGGGCATTTAAGCTTTCTAGGTGCCTCAAAAGAGAATCACTTCTGCAGTCAAGAAAGAGACTCATTAAAGGTTGTATTTAGTAATGTCTTTCAGAACTGTGTCAACATTGCAGATGAGATTGCACGCATTAGGTGAACCAAGAAAAAGGAACTAGACCAACAATGCAAAATATTCTCACTTGCATCGAACTTGTTAAAGAATTTCCACTTTGAGCTTCACGAAAGAAAAGCGGCTGGTTCATGAAAATAATATATGAACATTCATTATAAGAATTTATGGAAGACACTATAGGTGCTCAGCAACAACATACATGACGATCATCAGGAATATAAAGCCTGTATGGATAAAAAGGGGACAAATCATTTGATGTCTACTATAAGGATAAACCAACAGACTACAGCAAAAAGGCACATACATGGATGAGATTCTGCCATCGACAAAGGCTATAAATGTTGATGAATTCCAGTACTCAAATATATGAAGAATGGCATGTCTCGCATTAACCACCCACATCTATGGTAGCAGCCTAATCCAGAATCTAGATTAATGTTGTGAACCATTTTCCTGATAATGGTGAACTCAGTTTGACAGATAATTTTTTGGCAAAAGAAACAAAATTGTGCAGCTGAATTTCATGTCAAAAGAAACTAAAAGAAAGCATACGTATGTCCTAATCTTGTCCTACATCAGAGAAGTTTTTGCTGCATGAATCAAACACCATATTACATCCTATAGTTGTTATATAAGCAAAAACCACATTCTAAGAGCAGAAGTCACCAAATTAAGATGTATAACTCACTTTGCCACTTTTTCAGGCGTAACATATAGTAACTTGTATTTAGAGTGATCGGAGCCCAACTCCCTAAGGATCTCCAGTTGTTCAGCCCACTCCATGCTGGCACTTAGGTAAGCAGCAGTTATATTGGTCTGTATCAAAACCAGTGTTAGAGATAAAACTTCTCTTCGATTATAACTTAATGATGAAATGGGAAGATAATAGAGTCTAAGGGGTCTGCAGAAATGATCACCTGCAATAGGTTCATTATCTGGTCTTGAATAAGTGATACAAGTGGAGAAATGACTAATGTTATACCCGCACAGATCAGTGCAGGGAGCTGCAGAGAGAGGGGGAAAGAGAAAAAGAGATTATGAACCAGTCTGAGGTCCTAAAAGCATTGTCGATTTGCAAAAAGTAAAGAATATCCTCCATATTGAGCATATGCTAACACAAAGTTTCACCACATAACAAAACTTCAAACTGTCCTCCTATTTATAGGATTTATGAATTTGTCACAGAATGCTCTCAACGCCTAAAGGAAAACTTTTCATAAATCACAACGGTAACCCAAGATGAGGCCAGCACTCAGCAGTAGCTTAAGGATCAAAAGGAAATTCGAGAGTCAAGATTAAGATAACATTACCTGATAGGTCAAACTTTTTCCCCCTCCGGTTGGCATCAAAACGAAAACATCACACCCACTCATTGTAGCATTAATGATCTCTCTTTGATTGGGCCGAAATGAGTGATTTCCAAATACTTTTTTATTATTGACCTGATCATAGCAGGAACATGTAAAGCTAAGAGAAGGTAAGCAGATAAAAGAAGACAAAAATTAGATAATCACCTCCAGCTTTTTGGTCCAAGGAAAATCACGACTGCTCCACTTCTTATCGTTTGAGCCCTCAATGTAATTCACATCAATAATCTTAGGAATATATTGCTCCCTCTCTATAAGACCAGATGAAGGACCATACCTATCAGCAGAAAAAGAATCGCTAGGCATGTACCAGTTATCATGTGCATATTTTCCTTGTTCACCAGAATGTTTCTGGGCATCCCTATGCACATGATCCACAGTGAAATCTGGTCTTCTAGGTGTTTCGTACTGAAAATTCTGAGTTGCTGTAGATGCCAAAAACTGAGACTTCTGCCTTTCTATATCCTGGATATGGATCTCAAGCAGCTGAATTTGCTTTTTCAGCAGTAACCTAGCAGCGACGCAAGAGATGAAACCTTAGCAACTGATCCATAACTCAAAAGTGTCGCTATCAGTGACAAAGCAATTAAAGACCAAAATCCAATGAAGCATATATGTTTTCTATAATTTATTTTAATCCTAATGGCTAATCCCTTCTTGTTGTTTCCTTTGCAATAGAATTTGTTGCACAATATATAAGAGCCTCCGCAAGGAAGATAAATTGTTATCCAAACACGAAAGAAGTAATTAGAACTACAAATAAAAACAAGGAGTATAATCGACTGGGACTTAAACCTCTCCTGACGAAGCTTTTCTGAATGATCAGGACTCAGGTCAGCAGCATTATCAAGCAGTTCATTTGATATCACAAGTAACCTGTCCTTCATCTGTTCTATGTGAGTTGAGGCTTCTGAACAATGCCCTACCTGCACATTACAGAAACCATACAAAATGAAAGACTAATTAAATTTTGAAAAACCCTCCTCTTGGAGAAAATGACAAAGAGTGGTACCAATACCTTATTTCCATGATAAAGAGTGGTACCAATACCTTATTTCCATGATCACAGCTGGAACATAATTCAGGAGGCAAACTAGTCTTTCCTTCTTCCGGGGGAATATTTCTATTGAAAGATGGTTGAGGAGTACTTGTTGATTGGTAATGTTCCATGACAATTCGGTCCACATCAATAGTCTGCACCCAAAAGATCACACTCACACATGTAGTTCAACTCAACAAAATCTTTACCATAAAGTGGTTTGTTTATGCATAATTATCTTATGAAATAATTTCATTCCAAATCTCAAAACAGTGTAGAACCAAAAGTTAGAGCTTCAATCTCGGTCGTGCGTAACTTTAACATGGAAAATTTGCTACATATTATTTAGTTAGAACTGAGGCATATATAATGCCCACAGAACAACTTGAAAAGCAACCTAAATTCAAACTAATACCCCAAAAGAAAATTGCCTACTTTGCAACAGAAAATTTACCTTGAGTATGTCATCGTCATCAATCTCATCAGGAAAAGCTTCGCTAGATTTCATATGCTCAGTTGGGAATGAAGGGTTCCCGAATGACTTATCCATTCCATTTAAATACTTACAACTGGTAACTGAAGCTCTAACCTTATTGTCCCCATTTGCAACCTTTCCAGCCATTACTATATCATCATCAGGCGGACTGAAACTGTCAAAAGATTTTGCAGTTCCCCTCATTTGCATGTGACTATGGTCTTGATGACTGTGCGCATTAAACGTTCCACCAGCCTCAGATATAACTTTGGCAGTGTATCTTCCTCTTGCAGCATTTGAACTAGTGATGTCATCAATGATTGGGGGAGTTATTCCAGGTCTCAGGTAGGTATTACTCATCGATAGATTTGAAAGAGAATGCCAAGCCTACCAACATAGGATAACATCTCAAGTAAAACACTTGTACATACGGTGAATTTAAAAAAATAGGAGGTCAAAAAAGAGGAAGAAAAACATGGCAAGAAGATCCTCCTACAGAAGTATTACAAGGGGATCCCATCATTCAAGAGTCAACCAGCAATTAATTTTGAGATAAAAGAAATAATCATAAGTTCAGAAATTCCCTCTAGCCACATTACCCTTTCAACTTGTGGGAGCTGCAAATTTTGAATATTCAACGTACGAAAGGCGATAGACCTAGACAAGAAAAAAATGAAAATGCATTTCAGTCACTGTGAGTAGTTAAGTTAGTACCAGATCCTTGAAGAAAAATTCAGAAATATCAAAGGGCAAGATCACGCACATCCATCCAGCCTGTCCAAGTAATTTGGAGTTGTTGTAGATATTGATAGTGAATATCACTCATAAGACAAACATTCAACCAGAAAGCATTGTTCTAGTTCAGATTTATGAATATGCAGAACATGTTATGACCCAAGATTCATACTGTACAGGAAAAATGAAATAGTACTATGCAATGGAACTCTATGCTTGAAATTTCGATAGTATCAATTCTGTGGAACTGGATAACAGATAGTACTGGACGAGAGTTTAACATAACCACTGGACAAACAGTGTAAGAAGGAGCCATTTGCAAAAAACGAAGAATAAAAAATTGGGACATGACAATTTTACCTTGTAACCATGTCTTGATCTCTTACAGGCTTTTGACTTTCTAGAGAGTAAAGGAAATTGGAGCTGAGTGTCTTGGTATGCTCCGACCAATTTGTTTGAGGAAAATGGCTGCTGGGTTCTCGGCCTTCAGGGAGATGGCACACACTGCATGTTAACGGTCAGCAATTCAATACCATGAGACTACAAAAAAGGGAAAACCGCCAATAAGCCAAAAACTACAGGACAAAGTTCACACTTGCCTCATCTTCTTCTCATTGTTCATCAGCTTAACGTAATGAAGAGCTTCCAGCAATCTTCTTTCCCTTCAAAACCGCTTAAAACTAAAACGAAACATCTTTGCATTATCATTGACGGGTGATGAATGATAATTAACAAAAAATGCAGCAATTACAGATTATCACCAAAGAATGTTCGAAACCTTACTCCGAAAATTCACATCTTCCCTTCACATGACAATATGAAAGATTTAAAAAGGAACAAAGAGCATATTAAAAAATGATGCGAAAGCTGAAACTTTCCGAAAGACGGAAATCAGAAGCCAAGAGAAGACCTATTACATCTATTGGTCATTCTCTCTTATATACACACAAAGAAACCCGATCAGTACTAAGTTGTAATCGCACTCGCATTTCGAAGCTATGGATGTGTCGGTGACTAAAAGCGAAGACGAAAACCCTAGAAATGATTGTGAAACAGAAACCGATTACCTTGTGGGAATCACGAGCTCTGTTACAATGGAGAGCCAATTTGTTCCCGAATCTTTGCTTTTTCCCGACGAGAGAGAGAGCAAAGCTTAAACAATTCGTACAGTTTGGTAATGGCGGGATAGTTCCCCCTCTCCCGCTCTCCCTCTCTCTCATTTTTTTCAAGAACGACGCATTAAGAAAACAAGGGGCAAAAAGGACATTTCCGCGCTGATAAATATGCAGATGGGTGTAAAATGGGCGGATCGCGCCGGGTTAGTTCGGGCCAGTTCAATTCGGACCTAAAAATTAAAAGTTTGTCATTTTACAAAATATTAATTGAAACCAACATAAAGATTCGCCAATTAGTTCAAACACATATAGTCACATATATTTATACGAATAAAATCTAACTCATTAGTATAAAACAAAACCAATTCATAGCGAAGAAAAAAATATAAAACAAAAAAACTTAATCAAATAGCAAGTATTAGGTTTGATTTATCAGGAAAATATAATACAAAAGATGATTATCCAATCCAATAGATATAGCGAGACAGATAAGAAAAATCAATCTTATATTTTCAGAACTGGTTCCAGCAAATACGAACAGAAATCCCAGAAACCAAAAAAATAAAGATAAAGGAACAGAAATACAATACAAAGTGACTCGACAAAAGAGTTTAGCATAAAAATAAAGTTAAAGTAATCATAGAAAGGTAAAATTTTGGTTTAAAAAAAAATTTTTAATTGGCCTCAAACTCGATCCGAAACCCGACTGGCCCGTAGCTCATTTAGTCCGAAAGTTTGAGGTTTAATGAGCCTATATTTTCTAGACCCACGTCCTTATTATTTTTGGGCGGATTCGGACCGGGTTTCAGACTCTGGCTTAATTGATTGTTGTAGTTATGCTCATATGTAGATGAACAAATATATATTTGTAATAAAATATTTATGAAATAATATACAGGCTGCGCCACATTAGGTTCGGGCCGATTCAATTCGGACATAGAAAATAAAAGTTTATGTCACTTTACAAAATATTAATTGGAATCAAGATAAAGTTTGTCAATTGGTTCAAAGACATATGTATAGTCACATGTGTGTTTATACGCATCTAAGAATAAAATATTTATAGAATAATATGATTATTCCTTTATTATTCTATTTGCATGTTCATTAATAATAAATAGTATCCGTGTATTATTTTGAATAATATTATATGCCCTAGTCAGTCATTATTGTGGAAACTATAATAAAGGAAGACTAATGTGACGTGTATGCATGACGTAATTAGATACCTGTCATAGTTACACGTTTGGAACGTGTGACTGGTTGACCCACATGATAGTGGTTCATAGTCGTGAATCAAAACCGACATCATTATAATATCTCACTTTTGTCTTTTGACCTGATATAGCTATTGGTATTCCCCCTAATTTGTTTCGTGTCTTGACATAATCAAACGTCGCTTTAACACGGTGGCTATAAAGGTTATGCTCAGATGCGCAACGGGTTACGTGTGGTGGGTCATATGTTGGTTTAGTGCTCTATGATGTACTGATTATGAGCTTTGTTCAGATACATTCGATGTATTGATAGATGATCATAGGTATTGGATACGATCACAATCATAGGTATTCGTTGGAGAACGGAATATTGGATTGACCCGCATGAGATTGTCACATGGACTAGCGTCATGACTTGAATCTCATATGACGGTTCCATGATTGGATCCTAAGACCTGAGATATCTACGGAATCCAACATGAGGAGTTGCGTGCTTTGATTACGTCAAACGTCATGCGTAACAGGAGGACTATAAAGGCGTGTATCAGGTACGAAACGAATCATGTACTGGATTGTAGATAGTCAAGACGGGATTTGTACCTCTCGTAAAAGAGAGAGATATCGCTGGGCCCCTCGTGTGAGCGAGACTGTAGAAATGTGTGGCCGCACTATAGACTAACGTCGTCTATTTCAGACAGTCGAACTCAGTGAACGAGAAAGCAGTCGAATCAGATAAGGTGGCTTGTTCATGCCTTATGTTCGACATATGATATCGCGATACAAAAGGATCATCAGCCGGAATCATCACTGGAGTTCGTATGATCACGAACAAACTCTATTCGAGATAGGTAGTCATAGTGTCTTGCTAGAGACCGCCTATGACTTGTATATCCGGAATAGAGATTTCGGACTATACTGCTATATCGAATGAGCCTACAGGGTCACACACGCAGGGAAGGACAAAACGCGTGAGAAAAACGACGGAAAAACCAAGACGAAAGGGTCTGGAATGGACGGACCAGAAGTATAGAACGGACGGTCCGCCGAGCTAGACCCGACGGTCCAGAACAGATTGTCCGTTCCATAAGACTGGAACGGACGGTCCACTAATGCGGAACGTCCGTTCTACTTGCTGGAACGGACGATCTGCGTGCATTTCTGGACCGTCCGTTCCGGGCTTCAGATTTTCCGAAATTAAACCGAATTAGGGTTAAATCACTTTATAAGAAGGAGATTAAAAATCCTAATTGAGGGAGCCGACTTTAGAACACTTATAGCAGACTTTTGGTGAGATCCAAGAGCTTGAGAGTGTGATCAAAGTCCGTTTTTCTCAAAGCACAAATCGAATAGAAGAAAGATTCGAGTCCTAGCAGACAAGTTCCAATCGTTGGAATCCATCCCGAAGTGTGGATACGTATAGAGGGCGAGGTATTCTTCTTGCCTTTCGTGATCAGACGTGTTCTTCGATTATACAGGTCCCGGATCGATTGAGGTAAACGTTCTAACGTTTCTACAATTCAATAGCAGCATGGTTCTAGGGTTTCATTAAATTTTTGTTTTATATCCGCTGCGCAAACCCTAGAATCGATCTCTTAAGAATTAGATTCGCTCATGAGATCCCAGGAAACCCAACATCATAGCGTATCAAGATGGGAATTTGTTTCTCCAGATCACGAGATAGATATCGCTGGTCACTCGGTGATTAATCATGTTGTAAAGTGATTGGTCGAGCCATAGATGTTGGACATCTATATTGACAGATGATTAATAAATGAGAAAGCGGTCGAATTAGTTAAGGTTAATTGACACCATGCATTGCTTTCGACTAGTAAATATCGCGAGACAAAGGGATATTAGTTGGGTGATATTGTAGACACAATCGAGGTGATAACTCGGTTCAACGTGTGTAGTTAATATGTCTTGCTAGAGGCCACTATCAACGTGTACGGTAAAATACGATTTTATTGTTACGATCACGTTAAACGAGGCCTACCGGGTCACACACATAGGGTTATACCGAATTTATATATTTGATATATGTCGATTATAAGCTCAGGTATATTTTTCCCGACCATATTTATTGCTCAATTATTTTATCGGTTTATATTCACGAGATTAGTCTCGGTGTATGTGATACATTTTATGAATACGAGATTCATTTCGTATGACGTAATACATTTATTAAATAACTGTCGACTTCCCTACTTCTAGACGGATTGGAACTCGCGTGTTATTTAATGAAACTGAATCTGTCTCTTCGTGTATTCTGAAACATATTAAATGAACTTGACTCTTCATTTGCTTTGAGATTTCGATAAATTGACATCAAATATCAGTTCAGAAATCATTGGAAAACAACAAAAATATAAAAACCGACAAAAGAAAAGTTTTCGAGTTGGAATACGAAAAGTCTCGTATTGGTCAAGCCAACGAATCTTTGTTATATTTACTGACGATTTCAGTAGATTCTGGTATGTTTACCTGATGCATCACAAATCTGAAATGCTCGAAATGTTCAAGGCATTTCGGAATGATGTACATAACTAATCCGACAAGACAATTAAAATCTTGTGATCTGATCGTGGAGGTGAATATTTGAGCCAAGCTTTTACTACACGTAAATCTAGACAGAAATCATAACTACGATGCGATCGTTAGTCTTCTCGTTTTCCTTCAATGGTATCAGAGGCCAGTTCACATCGTAATACGTGTTGACATTTTAAGTTAGAATTTGAAATTCGGAGCACATAATTTTGAATTATGCACGAATTCGAGTTTCCATGAATACAGTTAAATGTTAATATAGTTGGACTATAATTAACGACACCAAAATCAATTTGGAATGGAATAAAAATATGTTTTCAGTCGATGAGTCGACACTTTAAAATAAAATCCCTCGTAATAATTTAAACCCTTATACCGCACTAGTATGACACTTGTCAAACTATCGATCGTCCGTGTCACGGGATAATTTGCTTAGTAGATGTGTCGGATTATCTTTAGGAGGCAAGATAGTGAAATGGTGGTTCACTTATGTAGAAACGTGGTTTGGGTTTAGTTTGGCTACAGGAACAGTTCCGGCCTAATGATATAAGATGAGTTTGAACATACTTTAAAATTCACTAGGGGTCATGTTTGACATGATTGATTTGATAAGTCTACCTAAATAGCATAATTCGTCATGAGATAATTTGTTCAGCAGATACGACTGTTATGTGAAATATGGGCCCTATCTATCGCTAAAAATATTTTGAGGGTTATTTCTTAGTGATAATTTTAAAATATATTCGTCTGTCCCCATTAGAATAGTTCTAATTAGTTGCATATCCTATTATGTAGAATCAATGGCTGACAACACTCCCACAAACCCCTCATCTGGCTTGAGTTCCTTCATATGTTCCCTAATGGAGCGTGATCGATTGTTTGGGAACAACTTTCAAGAATGGTTGTATACCTTGAGGATTGTCCTCAAGCAGGAGGGCAAAGAGTATGTCCTTGAGCAACCATTTCCGACAAAGGAACCAGATGATAAAGCCAAGAAAAATGTGAAAGACGTTTATCAACGGCATGTGCGGGACAACGTCGATGTCTCATGTTTGATGCTGAGATCTATGAACTTTGACTTGTCGAAACGGTTCAGTAAGTTCAACTCGTTCGAGATCCTTCAACAACTGAAATCGATGTTCGAGGCGAATGCTGATATTGATCAGTATAACACTCTCGCTACATTGCTTGACTGTCGGCTGGCACGAGATGCTCCTGTAGGACCTCACGTTCTCAAAATTAAAAAATATTTTGAGAAGCTCGAGTAGTACGAGATCGTGTTCCCGCCAAAGGCTGTGACCGAGATTATCCTCCACTCCTTGTATGATGGGTACAAACAGTTC